GGTAAGGCGACTCTGTTTCGTGTGACTTCTTCAACCTACTTCTGGAAGAAATAATTTACGCTGTATAACTAAACCGAGAAGGTACAATCTTCTATAAAAGCGTACAGCTATTGGCGTATGGCGATGATGTTGATATCATTGGCCTTAACAACCGCGCTGTTAGTTGTGCTTACTCCAGAAGCAAATGGGTATAGTGGTGAACGAGGGCAAGACGAAATATCTCCTGTCATCAAACAAACAGTCCTCGCACTCGCAACTAGCCACCCACGTCACTGTTGACAGAGTCCGGAGTGCTTTACATGAGTACCTGCCGGTGACGGCCTTACCTCACGGCGCTTTCTAGAAGCATATAGATCAATGCGTTGATCAGCGCCCCCAAGGCATAAATATTTAGCTCTTATACCTTAGTTCCAATTGGTTCAGGTGGAGCGGGACACCTTAGCCACCTTGGTCGGGTACGTGGCCGACCTAAAACCTCTGCCGTACTTTGGATCGGGCACACGGCCGTATTGTGACTTCACATTGGACTGAAATTTTTTAACGCTGCCTGCATTTATTTTCAAATCACAGCCACCATGAATCTCCACAAAGGGCCAAACTCAATGAACAGATTGGAGTAAACTCCAAGGGCTAATTGCTCTCCTTGGCACAAGGTTAAAGTCTCTGGTGAGATCTTGTAGCTTTTACTACTACCAGTTGAGTCCTCAAAACCTCAATGACTGGTGACATTTGTCGCTTGATCAACAAATGTCGTTATATTAGGAAATAATATAATTTCAAGCTGAATATTATAGTACTATTTCTGATATAGACTATGCTGACATTTCAAGGCAAGCTCATAATGACAGACATAGTGCATATGGTTTTTAGTCGCCTCTTACGACAGGCATGTCTTGCCACGGGTATATTCTCCCCCTACCCGCAGGGGTACGTCACTGTTGACAGAGTCCGTTGCAGTTTAACGTGAGTACCTGCCTGCGAAGGCCTAACCTCACGGTACTTTGTATTGCTAGAAGCACATAGATCAATACAATGCGTTGATCAGCGCCCAAAGCATAAGTGCATGCACAGCACCATGCTCTGGAGAACCAAAGCATGAGTGCCTCCATATACACTTATACTTTGGTTGCAATTGGTAGGGTGGGACTCCCTAGCCGCCTGGGTCGGGTACGAGGCCGACCTAAAACCTCTGCCGTACTCTGGGTCCGGCACCCGGCACCCGGCCTCAATGCGACTCCACATTGGACTAAATGCCCTTCCTGCATTTAGGTTTAAAGCACAGCCACCACGTATCTCTCCAAAGGGCTAAAGCCATGGCTTCCCATGGCACCATGTTAAAGTCTTTGGTATGACTTTTGTCACTTTTGTCTACTACCAGTTTGAGTTCATAATAATCCCAACTCATGACTGTTGACATTTGTCGCTTGAAACACAAATGCCTTTATATTACGAATTAATATAAAAACTATAATATCATTTGAAGCTGAGTATTATAGCACTTTTTTTGACATTAGACCATGCTGACATTTAAAACAGACCTGTTTGTCAGACATAGTGCATGTGGATTTTAGTCGCCTCGTACGACAGGCATGCCTTACCACGGGTATAGGTATTCGGTTTCCCCCCAACCCAAGGGGGCCCCCCTACCCGCAGGGGGATGTCACTGTTGACAGTCATAACTTCGAAGTTGTAGATAATTTCGTCTATCTTGGCACTAGTATTAACACCAACAACAATGTCAGCCTCGAAATCCAACTCAGGATATCGCAGGTGCTACTTCGGACTGAGTAGGAATTGAGAAGAAGGGCCTAGCTTCGCTTGGAAGTAAAGAAGAAGAAGGTGCAGCCTTTATGCCCAATATACCGGTCAGTGTAGGAGCTTCTTCGCACAATTGCGTGGAAATATGTTTTCGAGAATATATTGATTTTCATCCATTTTGATTTTCCAACTTACTTCAAAGCGTTTATATCTGTCTCTTATACACATCTAGATGTGTATAAGAGACAGGTGTAGGAGCTTCTTCGCACAATTGCGTGGAAATATGTTTTCGAGAATATATTGATTTTCATCCATTTTGATTTTCCAACTTACTTCAAAGCGTTTATATTGATGACTGTGTGTGCTATTTTAAAGCAATCAAATATAAAATTTTTTTAAAAGTGATGTGGTTTATTGCTGAATATAATAAAATTGGTCTAACTCTCATATATCTTTGGTTAAGCGATGTGTTAAAACCTTGCGGATTTCGAGAGTGTAAAATGTTCGGTTATGCCGAAATTTAGACTCTTCTTACTTGTTTTGCTTTGTGATTTTACATATTTCTATGAACCAAATAGAAAAGCTAATTTTTGTTATTTCAAAAAATATATTTCACTCGTTATTTGATCTTTGAAGGCCAACAAGACGAGAGTTTGCTGCAAGTATATATTATACATTCATATACACCAGATATGAAATTAGGGTTTCTTTGAAATTAATTTTGATGGGAAGGTAAAAACTTAAATATTCAAAGTATTTTTAAACATTTTGACCTCTTTTCTGACAATTTGTGAATATCATGGCAATAGAAATGTTTGTCTTTTGAAGCAAACCAATCAGACACCCAATTTTCGATGTCTGAATAGGAATCGAAGTGCTGCAATCGATGTACATACAGATTTTCATGTGTTCGGTAAATTTAACAGTGCACATTAACTTGAATTTCGTATGTTGTAATTCATATTAATTGACTTTATTCGTATTTGTTTTAACAGTTTTTCTAACTTTTAACCAGCAGCGGTCTTTAAAAAACTTGCACTAGCAGAGAATACCTTTGGAACATACATATATTTCGCTCTGTAGCCCTTTCCGTCAGCCTCGTATATGACTATTACATTAAACAGAACGTCATTGTATACTAAATTGAGACGGCCTTTGACTGCAAGTTCTTCTTTTCCAGTTTCATCTATACGCAGCTTTGTTTCTTCTTCGCGGTTACTTCCATTAGGTAAATTTAACCTTTTATTTAGAAGAAAAAAGTTTTTTTTTTTAACTATAAATCGAAATATTCGGAACATACGAAAGTTGGAATTTGTCATCGATTGGCATAAGTATATAATTTTCTTGATTTATTGTGGGCACCAACATCGCAAGTTTTGGAGAAACTTCTAAGACCTCAGCGGCAGAAAGCACAATGTAAATCGCAAAAATTCCAATTGTTAAAAGTTTCATCTGTAAATATTGTTTGCATTTGTAAATTGTTAATAAATTTATATATACATATACATATGTATGTATGTACAATTTAATACCTTAAGCTAGTTGTGTGTCATTAGAATCACTCCGGACAGTCGAAAGCTATGAAAGACACTGGATCTTTTGAGCAGTGCTCAAATTGACTGCAAAACTGGTTATGAATACACAATGAAAGTTTCGATAAAAATTATACAAAATACAAAAATCCCCTGATAGCCATATTATATGCTTGAAGTATTGGGAGATTATTAATAAATGTTGATATGACAAAATTTTAGTTTTCATCAAATAAAGTGCATAGGTGTCTTCTACATATATTCAGAGCATTCCGTTATTTTATGATTTAGAAATTTAATACTCATACATCGGTAGACTGTCACTAACCGGCACTATTAAGTTCAGTTAATTTCATTAGTTGTGTGTATGAACACTTTTCGAATTTCAGCTAAAACGAGTATACACTGTTCAACCTTTAAATCGATATTCCGACCAAGTTCTTTGTGCCGAATTTTTCCCATCAATGAATCAATAAAATTGTCATCAGACTTTACAGATAGATATTAGTATGTACATATACATAGGTATATCAAAACTACTTTCTTATAGACTGGATATGATTTAGTAAATGAAGCTCCAAAGAGCAGCGCGATTACCCACTTGTATTTTGGGCCTTTATAGCGGTAATAATTGAAATCTTGAATTAATCACGGGTTTGGAGTGTGTTTTCCAATCAGTTATGGAGCTACCTCGTTTAATTTAACCCTGAAGAAAATACCCAATCATTTCCACCTAAGTGATGTAGCATTTCTGTAGCTTAGGCTTAGATCAACTAAAAGCACTGATAAGTCATTTCATCTGAGTAGAAAATATTAAAATTTAAGTTATCAACAACAACATACAATTCTTAACAAAGTTTTTAAAATCCAAATGCCGTGGATTCCTACGGCATCCTACGTCAAAGAGAGAAGGGAGTAGCGTTTTTCACTGTGCACATACATTGCGCGCTCATAAGATAGGTCGTATCAGCTGACACGACCCACGATTCTACTCTTTTGACTGTTTCTACTATAATAGCAGAGCCAGTGAAAAACGCTACTCCCTTCCTTCCTTTTCCCTCCTTAGCGAGCAAAATGTGTCAAAAGTTGAGCCCGTGGTAAAAACGCAGAAATCAGCCATCTTTGTTTGTTTTAATTTGAACAATGTTGCCATTGCTCAATACGCATATATACTTTTGTACACATCTAAGTTTTCAATTACAATTTTTCATAATATAAAATATCAAAACTGAAAGCAAAATATTAAAAATAGTTTATATATTTATAAATAATAGCATTCGACTCTGATTTTGAGTTATTTTAAGAAAATTTCAAACATATTGAAGACACTTTTATAATCACTACAGTATATCGAGATTGGCAACCCTGCGTTGTGAGAGAGCAATCAGCTGACACGTTTAGACGGCAAAAACCAAAATGCTGTAGATTCTCACGTCATCCGACGTCAAAGAGAGAAGGGAGTAGCGTTTTCACTGTGCACTTACATTGCGCGCCCATAAGATAGGTCGTATCAGCTGACACGACCCACGATTCTACGTTTCACTGTTCCTGCTATAAGCTAAATACGACGTAGTGTTTTTATGGCAAAACTTGACAGTTAATAAGAAGGCAAAAACATCTCAATCAAATATTTATTTCTATCGATCTAATTAGTCAAAAACAGTTCTTTTGAAATCTGCTGAGTATAAAGATAAAGGTTTTGAACAAGAAGTAGATGCATACAGATGGCAAAGAAATTATAAATAAATAACGAATTATTATTTCACAAATTGAATCGTATTAAGTAAGGAAGGGCTAAGTTCGGGTGCAACAAAACATTTTATACTCTTGTAACTTACAAGAATCAAAGCCAGAGAAATACTTTATGATCTAAGACGTTAACCAGTGGATCGAAATCCAAGCAACTTTATAAATACATACATACATATATTATATATAACTCGTATACTGACAGACGTATAAGGTTTGTCAGAAAAACGAAAACCATTATATGTAGTATATGGAAGTTGGGGAAGTATCGACTATATTTTATCTATCTCATCCTATATCTATCTCGCTTAGTTTTGGGTGATACGTACAACCGTTAAGTGAACAAAACTATATTACTCTGTAGCAACTGGTTGGTTAAGATACGACAGATATGGATACATTTGTCACACCAATGCGGGACTAATGTTTGCTAGTATAGCACACGTCATGCGCAAAAATAAACCGTTAGAAGAATTTAGTAAACAGAAACTAAAATTTAAAATATTGCTGTATTTTAATTTGTTCTGCCTTTTTTTCTATCTTAACCTGCAGCGCTCTTTAAAAAGCTGGCGCTAGCTAACACTGACGTATTAGCTAGCTTTGGAACATACATATATTTCGCTCTGTAGCCCTTTCCGTCAGCCTCGTATATAACTATTACATCGAATGGAGCGTCGTCATAAAACAAGTTGAGACGACCTTTCACTGCAAGTACTTTGTTTCCATTTTCATCTATAAGTAGTTTTGTTTCTTCCTTCCGGTAACCGCCTTCAGGAGCATCTAAACTATTATTTAGAAGAAAATAATATTATTATCTCAAAATTATTGATTGAAATATTTGCAACATACGACAGATTGAATTTGTCATCGATTGGCATTAGCATATAATTTTCTTGATTTATCGTGGGCACCAACTCCACAAGTTTTGGGGAAACTCTTAAAACTTCAGCATGAGAAATCACGCCGCAAATCACAAAAATTCCAATCGTCAAAAGTTTCATCTAAAACCATTGTTTCACAATAATTTTTAAATTTATAAAGCATGTGTATGTATAATGTTTATATATTATACCTTATGCTGGTTTTGTGGTTTCCGGAAGTTTAGTGGCAGTCCGAACCGGCTGATGCTGCGAAAGACACTGGTTCTTTTGAACAGAGCTCAAACTGATTGTAAAACTGGCTTGATTATGTGTCCAAAACGAATGTGTAATTATATGCATGCATATAGACAAAATATACAAATCTCTTGAGTGCCATATTATACGCTAGAAGAATGCGGTGATTATTAATAAATAATGATATGATAAAATTTTCATCAATTAAGCTGTATAGGTCGCTGCCTTCTACCATTATAGTCAGTATGTTTTATTGGTTTATGTTTCTTTAAGCAATTATTAATCATATACAAGATAATCAATCATCTTATTACATTGTTAAGTTAAGCTAAATTTGTTGGTTGTGTGTGTTCAACATTTTGAATGATTCGCCAATTCAATATATTTCTCATGTTCTTTAGCTCATCAGTTAATGAAGTGTTCAAGTTTGGCAATGTGAGAGTACGGCTGAGCAGTCTTGACTGAAAAGCACATATGTAAGTCAGGAACCTACTTGATGTATCAGAATCAAAAAATCATTAAAGTGGAGGTTGAATTGAATTCCTAACATAGTGCGTGGATATTATGTCTGATTAATTCAAGGAAAACATCAATTCTGAACAGCGGTGCCTGCCCATATATTCAATAAATTTAACCCACTATTCAAGGCGAAGAATTTGGATATCAATATCCTGAATAGCGTATCTTAAGTAAGCCACGAAGTTTCTAATACGCTGAAACAAACGTTAGCGTTACGATCTGAGTCGATTTAGCCATCTCTCTAATCGCTTCGTTTTGAGATATCATTCTAAAAACGTTCTCTTCTTCCCAAGAAGCTGATCATCGATAACGTACCACTCTACGATCGAGCAGCATACAAACTGAATCAAATCAAGTTTTTGTTTGTCAACGGTATTTTTCCTGTTCTTTTTCAGAGAAACTAAGAATATACCAAAATTTAGTGGTTTTATTAGTGTTAGTGGTTTGTGTTTTCCATATAATATATTTTAACTAATTTTCATAATTTGGTTAAAAAAATATGTTAACATGTGTACAACCTTATACTCACATAATGAATAATAGATGGGTTTCACACCTTTAATTTTAATTCGTATTTGTTTTAGTTAACATATATTTATATAAACAAAAGTCATATGTGTATAGACATTTGAACCATATTTGTACATAAATATTTGCATGCCGAACTAAGCATTAATGTGTTAAAATGAGTGGTCACATATTCACACAGTTATCGGGTATTTCCACACAAACTCATAACATGCTATCGCAAGCGTAAATTGCGATAGATTCTGAGTCAGCGCATTCCTCTCAATTATTATTAAGAGCTCACTTAACATATGTGAGTCATTTGAGAATAAAATTTTGTGAAGCAGAGTGGCGCAGTGGAAGCGTGCTGGGCCCATAACCCAGAGGTCCGAGGATCGAAACCTTGCTCTGCTACAAACTGTGGAAACTGTTTTCTTCAATTTTTTTTATTCAATTATCAATTTAATTAAACATATGATAACTATTTAATACAAAGCACTATACTCAGCAGTAAAGAGGTTAGCTAGCAAGCTTTTTGATGTGGTTCGGGAGTTTGCTTTTCTAAACGTGTTGGTGAGCTTTTTCAATGATGTGATGAAAAAGGATTACGACATAGATATTCTTAATAAGTAAGGAAGATCCGAACATTTAATACTCTCGCAACTTACATAGATCAAAGCCGTGGAAATGACTTCAGGTATTGGCTAAACTTTATATTAAAATTTAATTAACTCAAATGATATGTGATATAAATTTGATCACAGCTAAATTTAATACATGGAGTATAATAGGAAAACATCAAAAAATGGATGAAAAATGCCAAATTCTTTTTGAACAAACGAAAATTATTATGTGTACATATTATACTTGGGGTAACTCGTGAATCGATATAACATATTTCAGGCATTAAACTGTAGTATATCCATTATTCCCTTTATTTGATTTTGCGAACACATTGAACATATCGACCGATATATACGGTATAAAGTCAACCAGAAGTTTGAAATTCTTAAATTATTCATATACATTATTTCATATATTATAATCTCAATTTTATCCACTTTTGATATTAGGACATATAGTTATCAGCACCAGAGGTTATATGTACATATGTCATTAAAAAACCTCATCAGTATACAAGGAATAAGCGGATGTTAGAAATCCTAGGGGACTAGGGGAAGTATTGCCCTAATATCATATATTTTAGACAAGAGGATACACTGAATTAGAATAATTAGACATAATTTATTATTAGAAATAAATTATTTATAAATTTCTTTATCATTTCTTACATATTGTTGATAGATGCGATGTAAAGTCAACCGGAAGTTTCGAAAATAATTACATATACTTGTAATAGTCAACGTCTTCGGCGATTTTTACGATGAGTGAAATTATTCATCAAAAAAGTTCCATTAAATTTTGTATACGGAATCTAATTTCTGGTGCCGGAACCTAGAGAATGTTGGAAATGATCGTCGGTGATAATTGTCTGTCCGAGTAAGTGATTTTAATTGGTACAAGTTATCCAAAGAGTGGCGAAAACGCGTTGGCGACAAACCACGTCCACTACGGCCATCAACAACGGCTGAAAATCAACACGTTAATAAAATAAAGGAATCGCTGCTTGAGAATTGACGACTAACATTCATAGATCTTACTGGTAGCGTTAAAATATCGGAAGGATCTGTAAAAACAAGTTTGATAAATCATTTGTGTAAAAGCGCTATTAGTTCCAAAACAACTAAATTTTTTCTGGTTGATGTTCTCGTTAGAGTAAAAGCTCCACCGTCGAAGAAATGCGAAAGACCGGACAAGGACTGAGGCGAGTAGGTCCTTATGGGATTTACTATATTGGTCAAATAAAGGAGCGCAACTGCCGAGTACTGGATGAACGACTAGTCACAATCCATATCAAAGCGTAGTTCTTCAACATATCGCTGATGTGAAGCATGATGTGACCAAGGATATCATCTATGAGCGCTTGGAGAACTGCCGCCTCCACGATGTCGAAATCTTGCTTAGTGACTTTAACGACAAGGCTGGCAAAGAAGGTACATATATTTGGCACAACGGTGGGTAATTTCAGCCTCCGCGATGAAACATCCCCAAATGAGTACAGGCAGATCGACTTCGCCGAGGCCCGAAATTCGGTTATCTGCAGTACTAAATTCCAGCATAAAAATAAATGCATCAAGCTACCTACCTGTCTCCGGATCATAAACCACCAACCAGATCGATCACGTTATGATAGACGGAAAACACGTATCCAGTGTTTTAGACGTGCGTACGAGGTCCTAACATGTACTCGGACCACCATCTTGTTGCAGCCCAGACAGGCACCCGTCTCTGTGCAGCAAAAAACGCTCGTCAACAAACACAAGGAAGGCTCGACGTCGATAAACTGCCATCACAACAGCCATGCGAAAGGTTTTCTACTCGACTTGCACTCCTGCTCTCTGAGAGCACTCATCAACAACTCGGTATAGGGGTCCTGTGGTACAGCATTTCAAACTCAAAAATTTGCAGACAAAAAAGAGATAGGCCGAAATGCGTGAGTATAAAGGCTTGGCAAGCTGGACCACAGAGGTAATGCTCAAAAATTCTACGAAAAATGCGTAATGGAAGGTTTTAAGACCGGATCATACTCTTGTAGAATCCTCAGAGATATCCTAATGTCTGATACCCAGAGCATACTAAAATTATAGAGCGAACACTTTTCCAGCCTGCTGAATGGCAATGAAAGCATAACACCAGGAGATGGCGATTCCGATTCAACAATCGATGACGATGGAGTAGAAGTTCCATTGCCCGACCCTGAAGAAGCTCGAATAGCAATTACCCGCCTGAGGAACAACAAAGCGGCGGGTGCTGATGAAGAAATATTTAGGAGCTTCTTTGTAGAATATACTCGGACGAAAGCATACACGATGATTGGAATTTAAGTGTGCCCTGCCCAATCTACAAAAAGGGAGAACCCACATTCTGCGCCAACTACCGTGGGATAAGCCTCCAGAAAATCGGGTGTAAGGTTCTATCGAGCATATTGTGTAAAAGAGTAAAGCTCACCGTCGACAAACTGAATTATTAGTGTGGCTTTAGGCCTGGAATATCAAGAGATGACACACTCAGTGCTAAATCTTGGAAAATACCCGTGAAAAGAGGATCCACATACACCCTATCTTCATCGATTTTAAAGCTGCCTTTATTCCGCAATGTGTAAATTTGGTATCCCCGCAAAACTGATTCGGATGTGTAAACTGACGTTGAGCGATACCAAAAGCGTCAATCCGTCTTCTGACCTCTCCGAGCCGTTCGATACCAAAGTGGTTTCAGGCAAGGCGCCTCCCTATCATGCGACTTCTTCAATCTACTGCTGGAGATAATTATTCGAGCTGCTGAATTTAATGGAGCAGGTAACAAACAGTTGTCGCAATCGCTACTAGGTTCCCATGTCACTGTTGACAGTCATAACTTCGAAGTAGTAGATAATTTCTTCTATTTCGAAATCTAATGCAGAATAACTCTTGCTAACGGGTGCTACTTCGGACTGAGTATTCAATTGAAAAGCAAAGTCCTCTCTCGACGAACAAACACAAAACTCTATAAGTCACTCATCATCCCCGCCCTGCCGCGATGACATCGGATGAGTCGATGTTACGAGTTTTCGAGAGAAAGGTGCTGCGAAAGATGTATGGTCCTTTGCGCATGGAAGAGGAAGAGGAAGACCTCCACTCCGTTGAATTTACGTGACGAGTTGTTTGTCCGGGATGGACTCCTAAACTAATGAATCGATTTTAGTAAAATTTTGCACACTGTGTACAGTTCGAACCAACTTTGAAGATAGGATAGTAAAAACAAATCATAAATAAAAAATATAGTGAAAGCTCTATTAAATGGACGCTCTATTAAGCAGACATCTTCATTAGCCATGCTCATTGGCCGGTCAAACATTTTTTTGATGTTTATTAAGTGCAATCTATTAAGCGGGCAATTCTCTTAACTGAACAGAAAGGCTGGCAACCAGACATTAAGA